AGATGGCATTAGAAGATTCAGAACAAAAGCAAAGTATTCTTAGTGCCATTTCCCCAGAACTGAAAGAATTGTCCCCTTTAATTGAAACTGTCAATACGGTGCAAGAATTGACAGAAGTAAATGAGCAAGTTAAAATCTTACAGCAAAAGATAATGGAAACTCTTCCATGTATCCAGCACTTGGCTGATGTAAGTGTGGATTATCTAACAATAAAATGCTTTCTATTTGATTTAGTAAGGTTCAGATACTATTCTTGATGCTGATGATTTAGCCACCTATTTGCATGTCTCTTACTGGAATACAAAACAGACAGCCCTTGATCAGACAATTTTACTGTAGTGGGACAAGAGAAAGATCACAGAAAGATGAGATAAACTGAGACAGTGGTAGGCAAGAAAGGTTGTGCATTTATTTCAGGTATGTTCTTGGGAAAGAGAACAACGTAACATTATTTAAATATGGTACATGTGTCTGAAACACTTGGGACCAAAGAATAGTGAAATACCAACAAAACAGCAAATAGAAGGTGAAGCTATTCTTTTATTGGCCATAAGAGCAAAAGCATGATTTAGTCAGCATCACCTGGTTTAGCTTCATATAATTCTAGCTTGGGCCAGAAGTAAATTTGATATTGTCCTTGTGGTTCTCATAACATCCAATATATTACAGTCTTTCAGTATTAAAAACAGAGAATCAAATTTGTAAGTCTGTAATGATCACATGATTTAATGAGGGACTTCAAGTAAAATGGATGCAACTAACTGGTTAATAAAGGGATGCTTTTGGGATATAAATAAAGAAAAATAGGCTTTCTGAGTCTTATATTGCTATGAGTCCATCATTTGTTTTGCACTTAAGAGTCTTTGCAGAGAGTAAGTACTATGTTTGTTTCTGAAAATGTAGGATGTTGAAGCTATTGAATCTGAAGTAAAAACAATGGAGAAGGATATAGAAAAAATAAAGACTATATTGTCCCCATCTGAAGACACATTTGATTTTTCTCCTAAGGAGCATCTTAAACATTGTAAGGTAAGGCAGTTCACTTAAAAAAGGAACTGGCTAAATTGACATAGGAACAATTGTAGTATAGTATATATAGTGCTGGATTAGAAGCCAGGTATTTCTAAGTATTGTTATTCTTGAAGTATTCCCAAACTTTTAAAAATGTAATGATGGAGTTTTCTTTCTTTTTTTGCTGCTCCTTTATGTCAGTGCTATAATATTTTTAAAAACTGCCTTTTAACTCTGAATGGCTCATCACCATAAATTTCTACCATTAACCTTCCACCTGTAGCTGCCAAATAGCCTCCATCTGCCAAGTGAAAATGGTGGCTCATTAGGTGTTCAGTCAAGAATTGGGACAGTTCTGCAGGCACAAAGCAAGATGTGCTTTAACCCAAGACCCAAGGTAGAGATAGCAGTTTTATCTAGCCAGATGGGGCGCTTTCATTTCAGAGGTCATTTACATTGTGGGGAAGATGGTTTAGTGTTACAGAATTTGAGCCAATAAATTCTCCTGAGAGGAGGAAGAAAGGTGCTTGGATTCTGTTACTAGTGTTCCTGGTTCAAAGCAACTCATTGAGGTCACCATTTCCATGAGCAGAAGCTGTTTCTGAAATTAATTTTGGAGATGTATATAGTAGGGAGGAAAATGAGAGAGAAATGCAAATGGGTGTAATTCTCGATTCTATCTGAGGTATTTAGAAAATCATGCTGTCCTAGATTTTCTGAGATCAGATATGTGAAGTATTTTGAACATAAATATCTGAATTTCCCAAAGTGCTATAAGCATGCTGAGTCTTACATATTTCTTTCCTTTCCTTGTTAATATATTCTATTTTAGGTTATATTGGCCCACATCTGTCCCATGAAGAAGGCTCTGACTGAAATGCAATCCTATAAAGCAAAATTGAGATTGACTGGCATGAGAATGCAACCTCTTTCAGTATTCCAAAGAACTAAACAGCTTTTGAAAGAGCTGAAGGTTCTAGAAAGACTCACAGAGAAACAGAATACACTACTTGAGGTAAAAGCAAATTTGATTGAGTGGTAAATTGTGAATCTTCTTGGAAAATACCTTGTGATTTTTAATTATTATTTGTTTTCTGAATAAGATCATAACACAGGGAGAAGCTAGTTCTTGAATCTTATGCATCTGGTTTGGTTGATTATTTAAGGCACAGGACACTGGAAATACCTTGTTTTTAAAATTAACTTGTAGGAACTCAGTCTAATAATCTGAAATAATCATATATCATACAGCACAATCTATAACATACATGATCTGGAATGCACTGAATATATTAAAGCAACTTAAAATTGTATCATTCCTTTTTCTCACATGCACAGCAGTACAAATATCATTGACTGAGTAATCTAGTGATTGAAACACAGTGATCTTTTAATGACATACAGATAGAAATCTTTTTTTGCATATTATCTATGCATTTGGTTGAAATGAGCATAATTGATATAATAACAATGTGCATGCAGCATGATTGTTTCTTTCTTACTGCAATTTAGTTAGACTATTCCAAAATAGTTCTCAGAAGCTTACAAATGATGCAAAAATAAAATAGAAATAATAATCAAGCCCCAGTAACTTTAGAAAAACAAGTTTACTGTTTGCCTAAGACTGGTCTATACCAGTTTCCTGGTTTCCTAAGACTGGTTTGTACCGCTCCAAAGTATGGCAGAACATAGCAGTTGTTTAACCAGTCTTAAAGTATTGTGTGAATTCGACCAGTGAATTACTATTTTTTCTTTTTATTAATTTAATAATAAATACAGGTAGTCTGCATTTAGCAAATACAATACGGACTGGCAACTCAGTCATTAAGTGAAGCAGTCACTAAGTCAAATCATGGCTGTGTTTATGACCTTACTTCAGCTTTGCTTTGCTTTACAGACCTTCAGAGGTTATAAATATGAAGATTGGTCACAAAATTACCTTTCCATTATGGTCACAACTGCAAACAGTCCCCCCAAAGGCAGTTGTTTAATGAAGTCCACCTTATTTTGCTCCATGCTCAAGATAGTAATAGCAAAAATGTGGTAGCAGAAAATTAGGAGTAGATAGCCAAAGAATGCAGAAAATATATCATCTATTAATTTTTATAAAGAAAAACAAATCTATATATAATTGAAATTAGAATCAGAATGTGAGTATTAATAGTTTATTAGAATATATGTTCCATTATCCACCTCGAAACAGCTCATAATAATTGTTGGAATCTTGTTTTAGCCAATTGTAAAAGAGATGGAAGAAATTGAACAACAAATTGACTTCCTAAAGCAGAGCCAATTCCCAAAGAGTAATTTAGATGAATTGTCCATGGAAAATATGTGGCCTGTTCAAGACACCTTCTTCCTCAAGGTGAGGTTTATAAATTACATTGTATGCCTTGCTTCATTTACAATAGACAACTGTTGTGAAATTGCTTGATGCTATTATATTTACATGATTAGATCCTTTCTAATAACAGTAGGAATCTGTATGTTTTTGTATATATTGAATCATTTTTTGCTTCCCCAGAACCTTGGGTACAGAATCCAAAATCTCTTCTACATTTGTTTTGAATTGTATTTTCTAACATTTTCTAATATCAATATCAAATACATAAATTATAATCTTTAAATCATGTTTAATTTAAAAACTCAGAAAATTTGGATTATATAACTTGCCCAGAATCCGTTGGAGTGGGCGGCTATAATAAGTTCAATGAAATATTTAAATTTAAATGAAATAACTACAATTTATCACTGAGACCCAGTTTGGTGTAGTGGTTAAGGTGCTGGTCTAGGAACCAGGAGACAGTGAGTTCTAGTCCTGCCTTCCTGCCTTAGGTATGAAGCCAGTTGGGTGACTTTGGGTCAGTCATTCTCTCAGCTAAACCCACCACACAGAGTTATTGTTATGGGGAAAATGGAAGGAGTATTATGCATGTTGGTTGCATTAAAAACTCCCTTTTTACGACCCTGTAATCCCTTAATTCAGGGTAGAGTCAGGGTGACTGGATGGAGCTGAGCATTTACTGGCTGTATGCCCTTCCTGATGCCATACGGAGTTCGCAGCAGATATTTTTTCTTTGCACTCTAGGAGAGAAACATCTGTCGCTATCTAGGATTGAACTCTTAACCTTCCGAGTGGCTAAAATTCAATGCCACTCATGTTCGCTACATTGAATTACTTATAAAGTAATAAAGGCAAAAGAAAAATTTAATAAATAATTACAGGTAGTCCTCGACTTACAACCATTTGTTTAATGACTGTTTGAAGTTATGATGGCACTGAACAGAGTGACATATGACCGATTTTCACACTTACGACTGTTGCAGCATCCCCATGGCCACATGATCAAACTTTGGACACCTAGTAATTGCTATGTATTTATGATGGTTGTGGTGTCCCAGGGTCATGTGATCACCTTTCGTGACCTTCTGACCCGAAAAATCAATAGGGAAGCCAGATTCACTTAACAACCATGTTACTAACTTAACAACTGTAGTGATTCACTTAATAATGGTGGCAAAGAAGGTCATAAAATGGGTCATATTCACTTAACAGCTGTTTGGCTCAATTGTGGCCATAATTTGAGTACTATCTGTAAATGTATTTCTGTACTTCTGCACTTCTCTTTCATGGCTCTGTTCTTTTTGCAAAGTGGAACTCTGTTAGAGTTTTACAGCTTTCCAGCGCAAAAATAAGCCCAAAAAATAAGCACACATTCAAAATGAGAAGGAGGCATAGTTTAGAAAAACTTTATCTATAAAATATATATAAATATGATTACATACAGTTTCATTCAGCTCTGGGGAACATCAACAACTCTTAACTTGAAGATCAGAAAAAGACAACATAGAGAAGACTGAGACATGCCCAGACCTAGGCTGGATCACATGCCTCACACAACCAATACTGTGCCTTAATCTAAAACAGTTCTCATTGGCTGGTTTGTTGCTATAGCTATTCCAGTTCATAAAATTTCTTACACACTGACAACTGTGAGTAGCATACAACTCAGAGTATAATTATAGCATTTTTCTGAACATGATGACCTATCCCTGATTCAGTATACGGATATGTAGTAAAGAGCATGCTTACACATTCACAGGGATGATGTCCTTAAATCCTGCACTCACAATCCTTACTACTGCAGCTTCCCACATTCTGGGCTTGAGGTTCTGTCTGTCTGCTGTCACCATCTCTCTTCTCGGAAATATTTCTTCTCTTCATATTTTCTCAGGAGGAGGCAAGCAACATTTCTTCTTTCTACCTTCTTCCTTTTTGTAGGTAGCAGAGTGACTAAGTCGTGTGGCAGGCTAAATTCCCTGCCAGAATCTCTACAGATTTTAGAAGAAGGTATTATTATGTAATGTAAGGTTGAAGAGCGAAAAGTTGAGGAAAAATTGAAGAAAGGAATTTTCATAGATTTTCTGGACTTTGACTCTCAGCTAATGTTCCAGGCAGGAATATTCCATACAAGTAGAACAATAAAGAAATGGGATAGATCAATGACATACATTTTTAAAAGCTCTTATCTCATCACTCTCTCTGTGTTTCATTAAATAGCTATTTCCTCTAGTTTTTAAATGATAGTGCCATATTAGGAGGCCAGGTGTCTTATTGTGATGAAAGACAAAAGAGAAAAGCAAAGTGGAGCTGTCTCCACCCATTTTTAAAAGCTCATCTGAGAGGGGGGAAACCTTCCTGCTTCTTATTGGTCATTCAGATTTTGACTTTCTTGGAGTTTTCTGACATCAGTGTCTACATTGGCAAGGTAAAATTTGATCAATTAACTTTTTCTGATCCTCTTGTGATGTTGTTTACCCCTCCATTACAAAACATTAGGTATTAATGCCATTTTCACAATTCTGTTTGTCAAAATACACATCCTAACACTAGTATCCATGTTTTATTATCTATTACTTTCATTTAAAACTTAAAATCTTATGTTGCTCCTATTTGGGGAGATTGATTTGGATAAGAAACCATACTTGTTATCTCCTATTTGAATAGACTCACCTTTTATTGTTTGTGTTGCTGGTTTAGTCACAAGTGAATTTATGCATCCACAATGTCATGCTTTCTTTTTTATGCCTAACCTTTATGGAAAATACACGCTTGTGATTTGCCATAATGTATTCAATGGTTGTTTCAGAACACTCTTCTGGGTTAGTCATATGAATTAGCTGGCGCCGCCCAAAGTGCTAATTGCTTTAAGATTTCTTTAGCTTGTCAGAGCTTAATTATATTGAGACTCAGAGTATAAACAAAAAGGTGGCTCCAGAAGAGGTGAAAATTTTCTAATCAGAGAAGTCAACTATAGAGAATGTAATGCAAAAATAAATAAAAAATCTGCCAGGTAGCATTGTGCACTCAGTCACTTGTTTTAAAAGCTAAGAAAAGTGGAATAAATCATTTTTGCTGTGGTGGAGCTCAAACTGCTAAAATCGAATATAGAGTTTAGAAAAATCTGAATCCACCATAACTATGTCTGGATGAAACCCATAAATGTATCAAATTGTCTTGTTGGAATTTAGGGAGAGCTTACAGAATTGGTTAAAAATTCTACAACTTAAGACACCCCAACTCTCAGAATTTCCATTCATAATGGTCATTGCTGCAAATTTTGGGTACTGAAATCCCAACAGTTTCCATTTGCAGTGGGACATTATCAGGAGAAGCACTAGTTAAGCAAAGGGAGAGACTTTTCTCAATAGACCTGCTACTTGCACAATTCTAATATACTCATTCACATATGACAGCCAATTAGAACCATACTATTGGAACCCTGCTGAGCTATATAGATATGAAATTATTATTATTTAGATTGATTACAGCTGCCCCACTGGATGGATTACAACCTCCAAAACACAAAATATAACAGAGCATAACATTATAGAGGATAGTAGCCTGGAGAAAAGCAACGATGATAACCAAAAACATGGTAGGGGCTACATTAATATGCTAGCCCCAGGCCTGAGAACAGAGTCAGGTCGTAAGAATTTTCCAGAATCCCAAATGAGTGGACACCATACATATCTCTTGGATGCTATTCCAGAGGACCATCACCTTGAAGAATGTCCAGATAAAATTGTTTGGAATTCTTCTCAGATGGACCCACTTTTGCTGCACGTCTAGAGATATCTGGGAATGATTTGAGCCTGTTGGATCTGAGGAAGTAGACACGGTCTTTAGGACTGTGAGATCAGCCACCTGCTATTTAGATCCATGCATCTGTAAAAGAATAATTGTCTCTATTTCTAATGCTGATTATTCTATTTCTAAATGCCTGTTTTTATACATGCATTGTTTGATTGACTATTGCATCCTGCCCAGAACGACTTCTCATGAGATGGGCAGCTATATAAAATTAATAAATGAATAAATAAATTACATCCTCAATCCTGGGGGCCCAAACAATCACAGCCATAATTACTGAATCTTATAAGGATTGAGCTCCATATCCTTCACTTAACAGCCTCCAGACACTGAGTTAGTATGTTGACAGCTTCATTTGCATAGCCCACACTTGAGATGCATATTTAGCTGTGTCATGTAACGATGAAACCAACCCCAAGTGACAGATGAACTCACCAAGTAGTTTCATGTAGATGTTAAACAGCTGTGGGGGAAAGTATCATACCTTGAGACACCCTACACATAACCCACCCAGCAATTTCATGTAAATATTAAACAATAATGGAGAAAAGTGTTGTGTCATGAGATACCCACAGGCCTGATCTCCTCCCTCCTGTCAACTCTGATGGGAAATGACCACTGAAGAAGGAGGTGATCCACTGCAGAATAGTGCCTCCAATATTGTCTTCATGCTTTACCTTGGTCTGAAATCTGACTGTATCAGGTCTAGATAATTCTTTTCCTTCAAGATCCTGTGTCTATAGCTGCCATTTGATCAACTTCTCCCCAACATTTTCCACAAAGTGAAAACTGGAAACTAAATGATAATTGTCCAGGATAGATGATTCCAGAAATGGCCTTTTGAGAAGGAGATGCATCACTGCCTTCTCCAAGGCCAGAGAGACACCCTTTCCTGCTTCTTCAAAGATCCCATCCTTTGATTACCTCCCAAGCCATCCCCAAGTTATTGAGCTGACAGTTTGGGGGACTATTTCTATTTCGTCAGGAGTCACAGGATCAAATTCAGTGTAGATAATTGAACAAGACTATACCTCAGGCAACTAACTTGGATCTGCTAAGCTATAGGCCAACTTCAAGCAAATCTAGGTATCTTTATCCATCAAGTAGCATATATCACAACCCTGTAAATCAGAAGTCCCAACCTTGGGCCGTGGCCCACTACTGGGCCAGGGCCTCTTGAAGGGATGGTCAGTGCATACAGGTGTGTGTGTGTGCACTCACCCCCCACTCTCACGCTAGCGCCATCCAGCCCCAAGCGTCCCGCCAGCACTAGGGTTGCCTCGTTCATTCCGCCAGCATTAGTTCTGACCCGCCCTAAGCATCCTGTGGCGCTAGCACTGCCAGCCCCAAGCATCCTGCCAGCACTAGTGCCACCCTGAGCATCCCTCTGGCACTAGCACCAAGCCGAGCATCCCGTCGGCGCTAGCACTGTCTCATTTGTGGCACTCGCACTCACGCGGCCCTGTTTGCACATGTGCATGTGCTCAGACGTGGCTCATTTGCGCGTGCTCATGCACGGCCCATTGGTTCGTGCACATGCGTGCATAAGTGCCTGCTTCCCTTTTCAGGCTGCCAAACCAAAAAGGTTGGGGACCTCTGCTGTAGATGGTCCTGTTACGTTCACACAGACATTTGTAAGAAGCAAGAAATGGAATAATAGAGTGAAATGAAAAAGAGTAGCCCAAACATTTTGAAGTTGAGAGAGATGGAAAAGCTGAGTTACAATTAGTTCATGTGACCTATGTGCTAGATCTATATCCTCCCATTCCATTAAAATTGTACTCATTGGGAATGCTTTTGACCTTCAAATTACACCAACACTAGCAAATCTTCCTGTAATATGGGTAGCATACAGTTTTAATTAAAGTGGATAATTTAATTACTCCTTTATTAAGTTGAAGGATATCCACCTAATGCAAACAATCTTTGGTAAGGTTGCCAGCACGGAATAGGAGTGTAAGGCTTACCTGTATTGTATTAGGACATGTTTTTTGTGGTCTTGTATAAAAAAAATCACTTTTGCTAATTTTCCAGTCTTTCTCACTTGAAATAGGAAAAATGTTTTAAGAAAAGAAGCAGCTCTTCCAGAGAGGCAGGAAGTGATGCTTCTATCTTAATTAACCTGCTTTGCATAGTATTATGAGTAAACTCCATGCTATCTGTCACACAAGAACTCCTGACCACTTGCCCTTCTGGAATTCAGCTCCCAAATTCAGGCAGACAACTATGAACATTCAGAGTGCTCTTCAGTTTTCAATTGTCCCTCTAAGCTATGGCTGGCTGCATACAGATCCAGCAGGCTTTACGTTTTGTATTGGGTCACTTGGCTTGGTTCTCAGCAGTGCTAAGGAAATACTTTAATGCAAAGAAGGCACCCAAAGAAAATCCTGTAGATCATGCTACAGTAAGATATCACAAGCTGTTCACAATTTTCTTTCATGTTCCCATTTTAATGAGAAATGTCATGTCTCAATATTATTGTTCCGTAGGATGAGGAGGTGGAAAGAGTAAAGCAACAGATTGCCCTATTATGCCAACAGAAAGAGAATATTCTAACAACTATGAAGAATGCCTTGGTGGAACTTCATCAGAATCAAGAACCACCCGAAGCTGAGGACAGTGACTTAGAATCACTAGAGGAAAATGGAAGTGCTGCTGAGTTGCAGGTACATTTTGTTGTGTTTTTTCTTTTGTATATACCACATCATTGTCTGAAAGCTAAGGGTAAATGTATGATCAACACTGTTTCTTGCTGTAGAGAATCAGAAAGAAAAACCCTTAGACATAAGAATTCAGTGTTTAGGAGGCAATTAATTTTGGATTTAAAAATTATATTCTAATGAACAGAGTTTCAAAATTATTTTCACTGTAACTCAGAAGAAATGAAAATCTTACTTTACATAGTGATACTGTCCCAAACCAGTATATATGTATTAGGAGGGATTATAGGGCCCAGATTTCTCATTGAGAATTCAATATATCTGAAATGTAACAAAGATAAGTTTTTTCAGCTACTCCCCATTTGATGTTCTATGGCCATTCACAGTTCAGTCTCACTTTTTGTGGAATTTTACCTATTGCAGAGGGCAATATTAGGCTGCTATATAATAATAATAATAATAATAATAATAATAATAATAATAATAATAATAATAATAATAATAATAATAATAATAATAATAATAATAATAAAAAAGTTGGAAGGGACCTTGGAGGTCATCTAGTCCAACCCCCTGCTCAGGCAGGACAGCCTATATCATTTCAGATAAATGGATGTCCAGTCTCTTCTTAAAAACTTTCAGTGTTGGAGCATTCACCGCTTCTGGAGGCAGGTTGTTCCACTGGTTAATTGTTCTAACTGTCAGGAAGTTTCTCCTTAGTTCTAGGTTGCTTCTCTCTTTGGTTAGTTTCCATCCGTTGCTTCTTGTCCTGCCCTCAGGCGCTTTGGAAAATAGCTTGACTCCCTCTTCTTTGTGGCAGCCCCTGAGATATTGGAACACTGCTATCATGTCCCCCCTCGTCCTTCTCTTCATTAAACTAGACATACCCAATTCCAGCAACTGTTCCTTATATTCTGCTAGCAGAATATAATCTAGCCAGAGACTATTCACTGGATACTACTTTATTTTTAATCACTCAAATAAACAAACCAATTAGAAATATTAATAATCATTCATGGGTTGTTTTAGCCAATCCATATTTAAGGGCTGCTGTAATAACAGGTTTGTTGTTGTTTTTTGTAATTATTCCAGTAATTGAAAACTTGATTGGCAATAAGATGATTCAAAGTATTAATATTCACATTAACTCATCAATTAAAAAATATATACAGGGGAGTGGGATGCATGTGTCTATGAGATGCTATTTTCAAACTGGGATTATTCCAGAGTGTAAATATATTGTGAAACTATAACTCAGAATTATTCTTCCATATCAGCATCTTCCAAGTGTTTCTTGCAACTTTCTATGCTAGAAATAGGACTACATTTAAAATTAAAAAAGGAATCAATCCAGGATATGAGACATTATATAATAGTTGACTTTTTAAAAAATTGAATTTTGTAAAGAAAAAGTCAGAATATACACCTAGTGACAGTGCTGAAAATCAAAAAAATTGAAGAACTCATCATTACATAAAAGCCATAGCTTAAATATTTGGGAGACGTATGTATTTTTTTCCCCAATAACTCTTTGCTTTGGCACATGTCCACCAAACATGGTAATAAGTACCTGACTTGTGTTTATATTTTCAACATCTATCTGACATGTTTTTAAACATTTTTGCTAATCTTGCTAGTGGCAAGTGCCATCTATAAAACATTTTATGTAAGTTTTCACCACAGCTACTGGATACATTAAAGATTATAGGACATATATGAGACTTACTTAGTTAATTAAATAACCTAACAGAAACTTTGCAGGAGTGAATCCCTGCCCTGGGGAGTGGGATTGGAATAGATGCCATACATCAGGGTCCCCAATCTGTGGGCCACAGCCCACTACTGGCTGTGGCCTATTTGCAACCGGGCTGAATGAGTGGCTGGCTGGTGTGCATGCATGCGCACGCACAGCCCCATTCACACAAACATCACCGGTGCTCACAGCCTCACTCGCTTGAGTGTCACAGGTGCTCTCAGTCCCACTCATGCGAGCAACAGGTACTTGTACATGCTCACGCACCTGTCCCCCACAAAACCATCTCCTCTTCCCCCCTCCGGGCCGCCAACCCAGAAAAGTTGGGGAACTCTGCCATACATGGTCATTTCCAACCCTTCCATCCTGTATTTTTGTAAAAATAAAGTAGATATTTAAAAAAATGTAGAACAACTTAATATAGCTATAAAGAAGCTGTGCAGGGATCTGAAACGTATTGTAACTGAAGGACTAAAAACATTGTACAATAAATAGATTTCTATGACATTATATGAGATCATGCCTACAAAACTACCTAATTTGATTATTTCTTACTAATTCTGAGAAGCATGCATATTATGTGTCAGAGAGGACATTTTAAAGGCTACAGCAATAACTGGAAGTTTCTTTCTCTTTATGCTACAGCCCAAAAAGCGAGGATCCCTGGCTCTTTTACCTTCCTTGGTTGAAGAAGCAGAAGACAATTCCTTCCACAGTGAAGTAAGTACACGGTGGAGTCTAATGAAGTTGAGTCTTACTAGAGAAATAAAAGTAGGCAATTAAAGTGAGCAACTTAGTCATGGCAGGGGCTGCTGCATTATACGGATATCTTTGGAAACAAGCAGCATAATCAGAATTGTCCTTCTTCTTAAATGCATATTTTGATTATGGCAGTATTATAAATGTCATGTCATTAGGAAATTATTGAGGATCTGGTTGTTTTCCCAGATTCTGGGGACAGGATGATTGTGGATGCCCTTTTTGTTTTACTCTGTTTTGTTTTGTTTTGATCTGATCTGTTTTGGCTTTGTTTTGGCATTTTGTCCTCCTGGTTGGTTATATTTACTATTTTAGTTGTGAGCTATGCTCAGAATTGTTTAAAAGTTGGGCAGTCTATAAATTATTTAATCAAAGTAAATAAAAACATCCCACGTGGGACCGAACCTAAGGGGAGTCTGCAGAATAGCTTTCAGTAGTAGCAAAAACTACTGCCTTATTCCACAATCTTTCCATAATATTTGTGGAAAGATGCAAATTGTTTTCCCATTGTCTTTACATTGGCAGATGCATTCAAATCTATTCCAAAAAGTAGATGCAAAGGGTGACTCCCATTGGTGAGGAAGGGAGTTTTAATTTGAGGTTGCAGTGAGATTTGTGTTTTCTGCAAGCCCTTCATGTTTTTCTTAAAGCAAAATATAACTGAAATGTCTGATAGGCATCTTCAGTTAAAATCTCCATTGCCACAGACTGTCTTTCATACATAACTCAAAGAAGCAAACCGTGATGTAGCTTTAGAGAAATCTTCTAAAACAAAAACTAGTGCCAACTAATTTTGGGTTCTGAGCCTTAATTTTATATTCAGAATATTCTCCATAATTATGAATTGCTTTCATTAACCCTTTTATTGCCCAGAGTGCTTTCTGCAAGCTTTCTGCGAATGAGGAGCAATGTGGGGAAGAAATTACACTTTTTTTTTCTGGCTCTAAATATGGACAATAAAACTTAATAACAATTCACAATATGAACCATCCATGGATAATACTGCTGCAGTTTTTCTCATCCCTGTGAACTTCAGAATGATCCAGAATCCTGTTCTTAGGAATACTTCCTTTGTTTCCAACTTTTATAGTTACATTGGTAGTTGAACATCTAACTTTGGGTGGCTGCAGTTTTGAAGCAAGAATAACTGTGGGCAACTTCAAAGAAAAAAAAATCTCTCAATTTCTTTACAGGAGGTGGATACTGATATCACAAAGGCCATGTCCAGTGAAGCTCCTCTTCACATTCCAACCAAGGTAGGGGTCATGGCTATTAAATAGTTAAATTTTCTTTGAAAATATAATAATTTGCTACTTAATCTTGGAAAATCAAAATAAAAAGAGAGCAAATATATTGCCAGCTATTGATATGTATGTTGTATTCAATTGTGAATAAAATCATAAAGAGCTTTCCCCACTTGGAGCTTTTCCAGATGTGTTGACATATAGCTATTATCTTCTTTAGCAGCATATTGCAAAAACTTGGGTTAATTACAATTTCTACACAATAATTCAGAGAATTACATTCAGATCCTCTGTATATTGGTCTAATGTGATCTGATCCAATAGTACATTCTGGACTAATTAAAACAATGTAATTTATTTTCTTGAGAAATAATAACAATAATAATAGTAATAGTAATAATAGGATTCAATAGGTGGATAAAAATGTCAAATTTAGTCTGACTATCTGCCTGACTGTGTGATGGTCAATATAAAAGGGGGAAAAAATGACATTGCCATAGGTGTATACTACAGGCCACCCAACCAAACAGAGGAAATAGATGAACTTTTTGCTAATGGAGCTAACTAAGGTATGTAGGAAGCACATCACAATAGTAATGGGAGATGAAATGATAGAAGGTATTGAAGCCATAGGAACCCTGGGAGGAAGTGATCATGCAATATTGGAATTCAACATTATGGAAGCACAAGCAATAGAACACAGTCAAACTAGAGTCCTGGACTTCAAGAGAGCTAATTTCAATAAACGTAGAGAGGGCTTGGGAAGGATTCCATGGATGAGAATCCTCAAGGGGAAAACAACTCAAGAAGCTTGGGAAATTTTGAAAAGTGAGATAATAAAAGCCCAGTCTAGCACAATACCAACAAAGAGGAAAAATATCAGCTCTCAAAAGAAACCAGCATGGCTCCATAAAGAACTCTCTGACAAATTGAAACATAAAAAGAACAAGTATAGAAAGTGGAAAGAGGGGCACATAACTAAGTCAGAATATCAGCAATAGCCCGAGCCTCCAAAGATGAAGTGAGGAAAGCCAAGGCTCAAAATGAACTAAGGCTTGCGACCAAAGTCAAAAATAACCAAAAAAGCTTCTTTCAACATGTAAAGAACAAGAAAAAAGTGAAGGAAACGATTGGTCCATTAGTGGGTGAAAGTGGCAAGAAGGTGACAAGCAACAGGGAGAAAGCAGAACTATTTAACTTGTTTTTTTGCATCTGTCTTTACACAAAGGGAAAAAACAGACCAACCTATCAAAAATAGTGCCATAAAAAACAGAATAGAAACACAAGTTAAGATAGGCAAGAAAATGATAAGTGAGAACCTGTCCAGCCTAGACGAGTTCAAATCGCCAGGACCAGATGGATTATACCCCAAGGTTCTCAAGGAACTGGCAGATGTAATCTCAGAACCACTGAACTATATTTTTCAAAGATCCTAGAGCACAGGGGAACTACCAGAGGACTGGAAAAGAGCTGATGTAGTTCCCATCTACAAAAAAGGAAAAAAAATGGACCCAGGAAATTACAGATCTATCAGCCTGACCTCAATACCTGGGAAGATCCTGGAAAAGATAATCAAACAACGAATCAGCGAACACCTAGAGGCAAACAAAGTCATTACTAAAAGCCAACATGGGTTTGTCAAAAATAGATCATGCCAGACAAATCTTACTGCATTCTTTGACCAAGTGACAAAATTAGTGGATGAGAGGAATGCTGTGGACATAATTTACTTGGACTTCAGTAAGGCATTTGATAAAGTAGATCACAACCTACTACTTGACAAGATAGAAAAATGTGGGGTAGACAGCATCACCACCAGATGGATCCGTAGCTGGCTGACCGGCCGTACTCAGCAAGTGATCCTCAATGGAACCACATCTACATGGAGGGAAGTGTGTAGTGGGGTGCCCCAGGGCTCTGTTCTGGGCCCAGTGCTCTTCAACATCTTCATCAACGATTTGGACGAGGGGATAGATGGGGAACTCATCAAATTTGCAGATGACACCAAGCTGGCAGGAATAGCCAACACTCCAGAAGACAGGCTTAGGATACAGAAGGATCTGGACAGACTTGAACACTGGGCACTATCTAACAAAATGAAATTCAATGGTGAAAAAAGCAAGGTTCTACATTTAGGCAAGAAAAACTAAATGCACAGGTATAGTATAGGGGGTACCTTGCTCAATAGTAGTAACCGTGAGAGGGACTTCGGAGTCCTAGTGGACAATCATTTAAATATGAGCCAGCAGTGTGCTGCAGCTGCCAAAAAAGCCAACACAGTGCTAGGCTGCATTAGCAGAGGGATAGAATCAAGATCACGTGAAGTGTTAATACCACTTTACAAGGCCTTGGTAAGGCCACACTTGGAATACTGCATCCAGTTTTGGTCACCACGATGTAAAAAAGATGTTGAGACTCTAGAAAGAGTACAGAGAAGAGCAACAAAGATGACCAGGGGACTGGAGGCTAAAACATATAAAGAACGGTTGCTGGAATTGGGTATGTCTAGTTTAATGAAGAGAAGGACGAGGGGGGGACATGATAGCAGTGTTCCAATATCTCAGGGGATGCCACAAAGAAGAGGGAGTCAAGCTATTTTCCAAGGTGCCTGAAGGCAGGACAAGAAGCAATGGGTGGAAACTAAGCAAGGAGAGAAGCAACCTAGAACTAAGGAGAAACTTCCTGACAGTTAGAACAATTAACCAGTGGAACAACCTGCCTCCAGAAGCGGTGAATGCTCCAACACTGGAAGTTTTTAAGAAGAGACTGGACAGCCATTTGTCCGAAATGGTATAGGGTTTCCTG